CAAAGAAAAGGAAAAAGTTCCCAATCAGACTGTAGTCGAGAATGCATATGTAGGCACTGCCCGCAGCAGGCAGGAGGCCACAGTAGTTCCCGTGTGCTCACCACTAAGGTGCCCGGAGGACTCAGGCGGCGGCCGGCTCCGGTCCTCAGGGCCAGCGGGGGCCGTGCCGCCTGGCGGCACTCTGGCTCTGGGAGCACCTTGTCAGTCTCAGGAAGCTGGGGTTCAGCATCATCTTCATCTCCTGTGTGGCTTCTTTTCCAGCTGAGAAACTTTTTTTTTTTTCTTTTTTAATTTTTAAAAAGAATCACAGCCAAAATAAGACATTAACTTCAAAATGTGAAATGGCTGCGCTTACCCTATTATAAAAACATGTAAGAGTCCGCTACACCTTCCCGGGGATCTTGGCCCGCTTGCGAGCGATGGCGTCCTCCACAGCCTTGAGCTGCTTCAGGAGCTCCTCCCGCCGCGACAGCGTGCTGGCCTTCCCGGCCTTGGCGCCCGCTGCCGCACCGTCCGCAGCTTTGCCAGGCACGCTGGTCACCTTGCTCGAGCTCTTGGACTGGGGCGACAGCTGGCGCTTCCTGCAGAGGAGGGAGTGAGACAGGATGGCGCTCGGCCCAGCCAGACCTCCCTGCACCCCGACTCTCTCAGCAGCCCGTGGGAGGAACTGTGGCCCAGCAGGGCCTGCACGGCAGGGACTGGCTCACCTGTCTGTTGGGGCGACGAGGGCCTTGGAGTTCTGGCCCCTCTGCCGCTCGGGCTTCGGGGAGCCCAGTCTACCACCTGACTTTCGGTCCCGGGAACCTGGGAACAGGGCAGGATGAGAACAGCACCCCACACCGGCACTCCAGTTCAGGGTTAGGGTGGCTCGACAGCCCAGCAGTGCTGCACTACTGAGCGACTCCCATAGCTCCCTGCCCCCGCTTTTTTTTTGGTACCAGGGATTGAACTTGGGTCCTTGCACTTGCGAGTACAATGGATCATTATGCCGGCATTAAAACTGAAGTTTCAGGTGGCGGAACCACTGAGCTAAATACCCCCTGGCCCCCACTTTTGAAACAGGGTCTCCCTATGGAGCTCAAGCTGGCCTCAAACTCACAGTGAACCCAGCCTCACTCATTTTGGAAGACTGTTTTTCATTAAAAAAAAAAAAAAAAAAAAAAAAAAAAAAAAAAAAAAAAAAAAAAAAAAAAAAAAAAAAAAAAAAAAAAAAAAAAGTTAAAATGGTATCCTGTAAAAATGGTTTTGTGCACACCTGTAATCCCAGCACTTGGAAGACTGAGGCAGGAGGATCACCTCAAGTTCAAGGCCAGCCTGGGCTACACAGTGTGTTCAAGGTCAGCATGAATTACATAGTGGGACCTTAACTCAAAAAAATGAAAAACACCCCACAAAAGAAACAGTGGCTTACTGAGTTTGTTTTCTGGAGGTGCTGGGTGCAGAGCCAGAGCCTAGTGCTGAGCTGCACCCGAATCCTGTTCCCTAAAATGAACCCGCGCCAGAGCCCTACGTGGCCCCCTCACACCATGGTCCAGCTGAAGTCCCTGCAGCTCCTCGGGGGCTCTCAGCAGGGGACAGGGCGCCGCCCTGGCATGTAGGGAGGCTCACCTCGGTCTGGGGACAGGGTGGCCCGCTTGGCCGAGGGGCTCTGTCGGTCCTTGTCCGCTGGCTCATACCGCTTCCTGCTCCCTTTGTCAGCTGCCTGCAATGACACAGCACCACGAGCATGTGGCCAGGGCCTGACCTCTGCTGTGCCCACCTCAGTGCCCCCCAGATTCATCCTGGGCTGGGGTGGCCCCACCCGGCCCCTCACCTTGTTCAGCAGTGTCAGCTTGATCTCCTTGTGGGCCACAAAGGAGCCCTGGGGAGGCTGCCCGGCGGGGGTGGGGGCTGGGGTCGCGAGCTGCTGTGAGGGCTTCCCGCCCGCCGAGGGCTTTGAGGACTTGGGCGGCTGCGCAGCTGCATCCCTTTTCCGCTTCTCCTCCTTCACGCCATCTTCTTTCTTTGATTTTCCTGCCAGTGGCAAACCGTCAGGGCTCCATGCGCACTGCACCTAGCCTCCCTCCCCTCAGGGCCGCCCCGGCACGGGCCATACCTCGCTCCTTCTTAGCCTGGGCTGGAGTGGGGGACCGAGAGCTGGCCGAGGACACGGGGCTGGCCAGGTCGGCGTACATGTCCTCCGAGTCCACGCTGTGCACTGAGCTGCTGCTCGAGGTGGCGCTGGACACCGAGGAGACGCTGCTCACGCTCAGGGACCTGCACAGGGAGCAGAGCTGAGTCCGCAGCCTCCCACCCCGGACTCAGAGTGGGAGACTTCAGGGGCCACGCAGGGAAGGAGGGCTCCGCTCGCTGCCCAGGGCCACGGTGCCGGCAAGGGACCTGGGTTGCAAACAACCCAAAAGCAGCACCAATGGAAATGAAGTTAACCATGCACAAGAGAAGGGAGACCACAGCCAGGGCAGGGCCACCAGGCCATGTTCCAGGGGCCGGCACGTCTCAAGGAGGATAAGGGAGATGATTTTAGCCTGTAGCAAGAGCTGGCAAGCGGAGAACGCACTTCAGGTGAAGTGTGTGGGTAGAAGCACGGGCCCCGGCCCTCTGGCTCTGCCGCGGCACGGGCACCTTGTGTCCAGCTCACGTGCCAAGCAGCACTGCCAGGGCTGCCAGGTGCCGTGACAGGAGGGAGAAAGACAACCGCCCTCTCTTTCTCCAAAGAACAGGCTGTGAAACATTCCGGACTGGCAAAGAATCTCGACAAATGTCCAGCTCCACTGCCCAGGAAGGACTGGGGCCCACCTGCCTCTGCCTCCTTCTGAACTCTCACAGCAGAGCCCCCTTGGCCCAGGCTGTCTGCTGCCTGCCCCAAAGCTCAGGCCCATCCCCTCGATGTCTCCATGGCTGGGTGCCCTAGCAGGAAGGGCATAGGCTGGTGCTGTGTGCCCACCCCGTGACAGGGTGGGCGCCAAGAGTGGGCGTGCCTGAATGCAGAGAAATCTTCCGGGGACACTGACCTGGACCGGGAGCTGGAGCCACTGTAGCTGCTGCCACTGCCACTGCCACTGCCACTGAGCGTTCGCCTGGAACACAGCAGAGAGTGGGCTTACAGGCAGCCTTGGCACCGAGGCAGCCATCGCCCAGATGAATTTCTGAAACTGGCCACAGGCTCTTGGTGTGAAGTCAGTGTCAAAACCCGTAGATACCTAAGGAGCCCTTGTTGGCAGGAAGACAAGGGCCATGCCCCTGCACACAGCCTCTCTCCAGGGACACTGGCCACCCACACTGTGCTCTGGGGACACCAAGGCTCAGTGAGGGGATGCGACCAGCCCAGGCAACAGCAATCTGGATCCTGGACCAAGAATCAGACCCCCACCCCCATCTGCCACTCACCTCCGGGGGGGCGTCCTGGCCTGCCGCTCCTTCCTCCTGGCTTCCCGGGGGTCTCCGGGCTTTGTGGGCTCAGGGGCAGGAGCGGCAGCCTTGGTAGCCTGTAGGGGCACTGGAGGCGGGGCTGGCTTCTTCAAGGACTTCTCTCTGGGGACAGAGCGGGGCTCAAGACCGGGCCAGGAGAGACCCGTACCCAGAGGCGCTGTAGCAGGAGATGGCCTGTGGCCGCCTTGGCCTGGGGCCCAGGGTCTGAGCCATTGCTGCCACCCACCTGCCCATGGGACCATTTCCCTCAGGCACAACCCGATGTCATGGGGCCAGGACCTACCCTGCTTTCCCAGGGGGCGGCGCCAGCTCCCCCTTGGCTCTGATGGACGGTCTGTGTGGGGAGGGTGTGGGGGACTGCGATGGGGACGAGGAGAAGGACCGGGACCTGGAGGGAGAGAGTGTTAGGACCCCTGCACCACGCTGAGCCCAGACTCACAGGGCACTGGCCGGAGACTCGGCTTCATGCAGCTTTGCCATCTGCTCAGAGCCAAGGACGGTGCCATCCCTGTGTAGGACACAAGTGGGGTCATGGCAGGGTGGGTGGCGCTGCCAGTCACAGGTGCCCCAGCAGAGACAATAGTGTGAGGGAAGGACCGGCCACTCGGGAGTGCCACGGCCACGAGGAAACTGTGACGCGCCCCTTTCAACACACGTCAGGTGCGGCAGGGCCAGGATTCAGGACTGTGACGTCACACGGGGGATGAGGCCGAAGGCTTGCAGTGTGCCAGCCGCCCTACTTCAGAACGCCCACACCCCAATTCCAGCCAGCAGTGCTGACAGCTGTTGGGAACAGGAAGCAGGGGCGCCAGCCTCATGCACAGCCTCCTGCCCGGGCCTTGGGAAGGGCGCCCGGGCTGCCATTGTCCAGGGTGATGTGGGTCTCTGGGGTCTGCAGGTTAGGTCTGCTGGCGGGGGGGCAAAATGGGAGGCTGTAGCAGGAAGGACGCAAGGCATGGGAATGGCTAACAGGCCTTGCTCAACGGTGACCTGGGTGCTCAGTAGTCTGAGCTGGGCCGGAACACCGGTGTCCCCACCTTCCCGGCTGTGGGTCCCACTCCACACCCCACCCCCCGGGCTATGCTCCACAGCAGGGGAAACCTGCTCTGCCCTTTGCGGACCTGGGGACACCACAGGGCTTTCCCCTGCATCTTATGCCACTGTCTCTGCTATCGCCCTCAGCTGCACGCCCAGAGCGAAGGTCACACACAACTGTCTCCCACGGCATGGTGACTTCCTGCATCCAAAATCCCCAAATACCTTAACCTGGCCTCGCAGCATGACTCTCCGCCTTCACGCCTCACCAGTCCCTTCTTGGTGCAGTGCCACCAGAAACTGCCGGTCTGGCCTGCCCCGCCTCAACCAGGCTGTGTCCCAGGTGCTGCTGGTTGGCATGGCAGGAGCCCGCCAGCCTCGCTTCCATGGGCGGCCCACATCTCTTCCTGGCCACCTGCTTCCCACACGAGGCTCAGGTCTCCAGGAAGCCACCCTGCACCTGGCCCCAGACGCGTCAGCCCGACTGTCCAACTCCACAGTCCCACCACCTCTTCTGCCTGCTCTCTGACCCTCTAGAGCTGCGCCCCCGGTAAGACTGCTGCCAGGGAAGGATGACCAGGCAGCACCCAGAAACCATGCACAGTGTGGCCTAACCTTCGCCACGCTGTGTGTGTGCACGCACCTGTGGTACTGTTCAATGCCAGCACTGGTGACCCAGTCAGGGTGACAGGTGGGACCATGCTGCCAGGGTCCCTGGGCGTGCAGTGCCATGTGGGTGCTGGCAGAATTTCGTCAAAAATTCTAAATGTGTCTGTTCTCAGAAGGAAAATGTAGTAAGATTGCTCAGGCCTCCAGAACTTTAGGACAATGGACACTCTCTCAGGCTATGTGGGCGCCGAGCACTCCCGGAACCAGCGGCACCTGCAGCCGTTGCTGTGCTCACTGCACTTGGCTCCTCTACATCCGGCCCCTGCTCCCGTACTGTGGGACAGGGACTGCCATGCCCAGCCGGGGTGCCCATCTGCCCACCCGCCCAGCCGCCAGCCCGCGGGCTGGGACATACCTGGACCGGCTGCCTGAGAAGGAGCTGTGTCTGGAAGAGCGGCTGGAATAAGAGCTGTAGGAGGAGGACCGTGACCTCGACCGTGAGGAGCCAGAGCCAGAGTAGGACGAAGACCGTGAGGACGACCTGCAGGCAAGAGGGACGGACGTGAGAGGTGACCTTCGCACACTAGCAGGACACGCAGCACCGCCCTCTTCACGTGCAGACCTGAGACACAGCTGCGTACACTGCAACACACACTCACACGGACACACCCAGGCACAGGCACACGGACAGACTCGCGTCCACACGGACACCCTGACACATACATGCTCATGGACATGCTGCAGCCCAAGCCCGTGAGGGAGAGCGGTATGGATAGCGTTCACCTCTGTACTGGGGAACCCTGCCCCAGCATCAGGAATCCGATCCCATGTGCACCCCTAAGCTGAGTGCAGAGCTGCCGAGGCGGACGCCCCTCGCCTGTCCTGTCCTTGGGCACCTGGCAGCTTTACACAGCACTGCTGGGGCATCAATTCTGTGTTGGGGGACCGCACCCTGCCCTTCAACCCCCACCCACAGCATCAGCCTCAGCACTGCCAGGCGCCACTGGTCAGGCCCCACTAAGGCTGCCTCTTTACCTGGAGGAATTGGAGGCAGAGGCGGAGGAGGCAGAAGTTTTTCGACGCCTTCGTGCCCGGCTGGGAGAGACTGACACCCCGAGTTTCTTCCTGGGAGACTTGGATCGGCGCCATGGGTCCTTCCACTCGTCAGCCCGCTTCACCTGCGGCCCTGAGGCGGCCTCCTTCTTCGGTGGCTCAGCTTGACGGCTGGAATCACAGAGGTGAGCAAGCTTGGCCGCTGCCCTTCCCAGGAGCAGAACTTTGGGGACTGGGCGAGGCAGCCCCAGTCCAGCCCCTCTACACCACTCCGGTTCCCTCCTGGCAAAGAGGGTGATGGCTCTCTGGGGGCAGGACCCGTCCATCTCCATCTCCCCAACCAAGCTGTCAGCGGGGACAGAGTCCGCCCTGAACATGCTCATCTCTCGTGTTGGCACAGGGTGCAGTTAAAGGGACAACAATGTACTCTGTTTTCAAATGCAATACAAAGCCTGAGAAGTGACGAATCTAAGCCTCAAACATGCTGTCCATGACCAAGAGCACTCCACATGGACCTGCAGAGCAGAGTGTTCCGGCCTTGTCCCAGATTCAGGCACCATGGGAGCACGCACGAGGGCTGCCTGGAGATGCCAAGCTCTGTGTGTCGGCCAGGGAGGCCGGGGGCCGCCGCCACTCCAGGCAGAGATGCAGCGATCGATTGGGTGGCTCAGCCCGTCCTGACCTCTCAGCCCGGCTGTTGGCTGGGGACCGGGTGGGAGCTCAACAGCACGGCCAGCCTGGGCGGTCCCAGGCCCACTCCTCCGGAACACTTGAGGTCCACCCAATGCAGCAGGACGACTCAGCCCAACCACCAGCAGAGCTGCTCAATCTCATCATGATCAGAGAAACCCTAACAAGTAAATGCTGGATGTGAAGGCTGGCCGATCCGTGAAATTCATTTAAACATTTGGAAAATACACAAAAGGCAAAATTGGGCAAAAATCCCATGTTCTGTCCCTCTCCAGCAGCAGCCCATGCTGAGCCTCCCACGCTGGCAGAGGTGCCTCGTTCTGTGACTCTGGGGTCCTGGGCTACTGCAGGAAAGCACCAGGAAAACGTGTTCCTCGACCGTGACCGCGGCCATTGGACCCTGTGAACCTCAGTGCTGCTGCGTTAAGAATGCAGGCGGTGTTCAAACGGCTTCACACACTGTCTTCAAGACTTTTTTTTTTTTGTATTGGGGATGAACTCGGGTCCTTGTGCTTGCAAGGCAGGCACCGGAACCACTGAGCTAAATCCCCAGCCCAAGATGTCTTTGGAGGGGGGCGTTCTCAAGAAATGGAACTCATGGGTTAGAGGGGACAAGCAGCCACAGGCTCCTCCTGCCGGTCAAGGGGGTGGTGTGGGGACCACACCCACTCTGTCCTACCAGGAGACCCCTCGAGCACCCCTGGGCATGGTGGCTGAGGCACTGCCTCTGCACCGAGTGCTGTGTTTCAGTGTCTGCTCTGCCTTGCCCCTTTCTTGTAGGACATGGAGGGAACCTGCTCACTGCCCTACGTCCACAGACTACCCCTGTTGGTTGTGCTGTGATATCTGACTCAGAACCAGCGTTTTAATACAGTTAACGTTCTGGGGCACTGAGCCAGGCTTGAAGCTTGCTGTTTCCCCAGCTGGACTTGAACTCAAGGGCCTCCTGCCTCAGTTTCCCAAACAGCTGGAATTACAGGGGTGTACACTGCATCCAGCCATTTTCCTCATGTATAGTTTCTCTTTGAAGTATGCAGGGTGGGGAACACCCACCCTCATTCCCGCTGGCTGCTGCTCATGCTGGCTGCTCTTGCCCTGGAGCTCCGAGGCTGTCTCTGATCACAGCCTCTCAGGCAGAGGAGGCTGCTGTGCACTCAGAGCCCCGTGCCCTGTGCTTCCTGGGTCCTTGGGGCCCTGCTTGTACACACCCAAAGAGGATGCTGCTGCCACTGCCCCTGTATAGCCACTCCTGGTCACAGCATCTCATCATGGATCCCTGCTTCCTGCAAGGGCGTCAGTGAGGGACAGCAGTTCCCTCATAGCCAGGGATTTAGCTCGGAGATTCTGCCGCCTGACTCGAAAGAAAGAGCAAAGACTCACGCTTGATCCCCGGTACCAAAAACAAAACAAAACAAAAAAACAAATAAAGGGTCCTGCCTTTGAATCTTCTTAAGGTTGAGTCACTTGTGCCCCCGTGACCAGAGTTCTGCACACAAGCCTCTGTGCAGCCTGGCTCTGCTGTCACTGGCACCTGCATGTGACGCACAAGAAACCCTGCCTGTGGTGTCTTCAGAACCGCCGCTTCATCACCAGCCAGCAGCGGGCAGCCAACACTCACACCCAAGGACACACTGTGTGAGGTCCGTGTTAGCCCAGCCCCGGGTGGGAACAGTGCATGTCCACATCTGGTGCCGACTGGAAACACTCCAGGAAGGAAGTGAAAAACCACCTGGCCACTCCCTGTCACAGGCCACCAGGCAGCCACTTTCATCTTCACACTTCCTGGATGCTCTCATCCTGAAAACATACCAGGAAACACAAGGCTGCAGTCACCTCATGAGTCACCTGGATGGGACAGCCCTTCGCATGGGGAGAGGGACGAGGGATGAGGGACGAGGGATGCCAAGGCCTGGGGCAACACCTCCTCCAGAGCAGTGCTGTGGCACTCCCGGGAAAGGAGAACCGAGAGCTTCAGGAAAGCCACGGCTGCCATGGAGGGGACTGTGCAGTCCCCACACCCTTCTGGTGGAATCTGCTGTTCCCCAGGGAGAACCCTCCCCTGCTTCTGCAGGTGGTCACAGGGGCGGCACAGAGCCTGGTACCCATGGCAGGCAGAGCCAGCTGGAGAACATCCCAACACTCTCCTTTAGGACAGGTGGCTGATGGGCCTCATCCTGCCACCACAGAGTGACCCACCCCATCCTGTGCCTGTGCCAGGGGCACCACCTTCACTGCACAGAGCTGGGGCCAACCCACAGCAGTGTGGGGCCCTGATTTCCACCTGTATGCAGTTGTTTTTGCTTTGACTTTCTCACTCATGGACTCACTGTGCATTGTTTTACAGCAAAGAGGTGGGGCTTCCTTCAAAAAGATAGGGGAGTGCGAACACTTAAGACACACAGATGACAAGCAAGTGGGTGGCTCAGGGAAGCGTCCATCCATCCACCCAACCACAGTCCCATCTCCAGACCAAGTAAGATGAACAAGCAAGCCAGGCCCAGATGTGCAGGAAGTGGTCTGGGATGCGGAGGGGCAGCTGAAACCTTCAGTGCTGGTGGTTGGCTGCAGGATGGAGGACCGAGTGAGGGACCTGAGAGCTCCCAAGAAGCCTCCCGGGAGGGTACTCCTGCACCACGGAGGTAGAGACAGGACAGCCATGTGGCGGTCAGCACAGGTCAAGGGCTACGACACACTGACCACAGTGGCCACCTCCAGCCCACCCTCCTGCCTGCCTGTCCTCACTGTTCTCTAGAATCTTCTCCAAACTTCCCTCAGATCAGCATGTTTTACACTTAGTACAAAGAAATACTTTAAATGCTACATAATTTTTTTTCCATTTCTGCAAAGAGAATCTTTTGCTGCTGTTGAGTACATGCTGCCAGGAACCTCATCAAGAGCTAACTGACAATTCTCAGCCCCAGGCAGGTCTCGGAGAGGCTCACAGACCCTACTGCCTGAGTGAACGGGCACTCGGCAGCATCAGAGGTGGGCACACATGGCTGGGGGACATGATGGGCACCACCTCTGGTCCCTGGACGCCCCAGGATGGCCACCTTTTCTTCCAGCAGGTGTCCGGTTGTGCACTGACTGGCCAGGACTGAGACCTCACTTCTGTGCCAGTGACACGGCGGGGGGGGGGCTCTCCGAGGTGGAAGCTGCTCTCAGTGAAGAAGCCACCCACACATCCTAACCAGAACAGGAAAGCCATGGGGACAAGGCTTCTGCTCCCCAAAGCTCTCCAAAACCCCAGGAAGGGGCACCCTGGTGGGGTGACCTTGTGAGATGTAGAAGGACAGCCTGGGAAAAGTCCTGCCCAAGGCCTCTCTGAGGATGTGCCTTCCCAAGCCAGCAGCACATCTTATCTAAGCCCAAGCCCATCTGTCCAAGGCTGAGGACCCTCCACGAGGGTCAAGGGTCACTGAACACACAGAGGCCAGACAACTAGGGGCAGCAGGAGGAAGCACGGGGTGCTGGTGACGCAAGGTGGCCAGGGCCTATGTGCGTCTGGAAATTCCAGCCTGGGTAGCTGCCAATCTTGGAGGCAAAGAAAAGAATGAAACTCTTTTCTAAAATCAAGAGTTACATGTCCAAAAAGACTGAGGAAGGGGGTCCTGAGACATAGGGGCCTCTCTCTGACAGACAGAATATGCTGGCTTCAGAGGAGCTGCCACGCCTCCCATAGCACCTCTCTACCACACGCTCCGCTGCCTTCAGTGCAGATAGCATGGGATGCAGCCTGGGTCTCCTGTGGACTCTCCTGGTGCAGAGCCTGTCCAGAACACAGCAAAGGGCTGGCAGCACATCTCAAGTGCAGGCCACGCTGACGACACCCAGTGAACCTAACAGTGTGCTGGGCTGGGCCAACTCCTGACCATGCCAGGGGACCCGATTCCAGGCCTGGAGTGACTTTGGGGACTGAGCAGGGCTTTAGCATGCACGAAGGACCATGTGCTCCAAGGGTTGGCCTGGCAAGTAGGGGGTTGGGGATGCAGAGTCCTTGTGAGGGGACACTGGGGATGGCAGAGCCACAGCACCCGAGAGTTCAGTAACGTATCTGAACTTAATCATGAGCAAGTAAATCCAAGGAAAGGCTACAGCTAACAAGGCGACCCAGGCATACTCACTCACTCCCACCGAATTTCTGCACAAAGAGGAAGAGCATCTGCACCGCTTCCAATGGGTAGCATCCCAGGACACACGTCCGATGCCCAGGACTCCTAAACGCCTTCTGCCATCACCTCTCCACTCCCACCTCTGGTGGCCTGCAATGAATCCGTAGCTGGGACTGTGACTGAGTAACTCCTGAGACCCGAGGATCACACTCATGGGCACCAACAGCGACAGAGGCCGCACGTCCAGAACTCCATCTGGGGTGCTGGTTATCTGCTGAGCACCTCACAATGGGATGGCGACTGGGGGCAGCTCCTGGGGCACAGCGCCCGTCCTCGAGGTTGCTCCAGGTGCAGTGGCTTGAGCCCAGCCAGGCAGACCTGAGAGGCGAGGTCAGGGTCACGCAGGGGCCTGGGCAACTCTAACTTTGAGCAAGTGCCATCCCTCAGCTCTTCAGGGAGGGCTGGGGGTGATGTGATGACGGCGGGCGGGGCGGCGGGAGCGTCACGCACAGACAGGTGCTGCCAGGGCTCGTGTGTCTTCCCCAGGTCCCCTCGTGCCATCCATTCCACCTGCTGAACGTGCTCATCAAAGTGACGGCTCTGAAACCGCAACTGCAGCTCGGAACCAGAGCTGTGCAGGGCCGAAGGAGGGATGGCTGCACTGGGAAATCAGGGAGCAAAGTCACCCAAGAAAAGAGCAACGTTCATTTTCTTTTTGTACCGGATATCAAACTCAGGACCTTGTGCTTGCGAGGCAGGAGGCGGCACCAGTGAGCTAGATCCCTGGCCCAACGTTCACTTTTTGCAAAGACAGTGGATGCAGTGGTCCTGCCACAGCAGAGCCCAGTGATCTGTCCCCTTCGCACTAGCGGTGGCAGGCCACACAGCCCCAGCCCCTCAGAGAAGGGAACCGATGCAAACAGCAGCAGGTCAGCCAGAGTGAAACAAGTGGGTACTGAACCCCGCCCCTCACCGTCCTCACAGGAAGGCTGAAGCAGCATTTCCTAGCCTGTCCAGTCCCCAAGCCTGCCTGATTCTTACACTGGTGACAAGTGTTGCTCCAGTACATGGCCCCAGATGAAGCAGTAGCCTGTGAAGCAGGTGCTTGTGGACAGGCCACGTGTAGGGTGTGGCACAGATCACTGTGCTGCCCACCAGGCAAGCAGTGCAGCTTCCATGAAAATGGAACTAGGGTGGTGACAGGGCAGCTGTTGCTGTGGTGGGGGGAGAAGGGCCAAGCCTCCCAGGGCACCAAGATCACCCACAGCAAGGCCCGATCCCATGCACACACTATTCACTGGGACTTACCTGTGCCAAAGGGCACAAGGGCAGGCCTGGCTGGGGAGGATTTCCTCTCTCACACACACATCACAAGGCACTGGGGAGGGCTCTGCCACAGTCTAACAATAGCCTGGGACAGTAGCACCAGCCACCCCGGAGTGCGACACTAGGAGCTGGCCAGGTGCTTCTGGCAGAAGGAACATGTCCTCCCATACCCCCCTTGGGGCAGATGAGGACAGACCTCAGAGGAAAGGAAGGAAGGAGCTTCGGGCAGAGGCATGGAGGCACTGGCTGGCATGGACCCCAGAGGAGTCTCCCAGGTACTCTCTACACTGGCTCTGCTCACAGGCTGGGGACACAGCCCCCAAGGGCCCCACCTGGTGCACTTCTGCTGAGCAGCACTTCCTCAATCTGGTTAAAACCCCCACCTGTCGGGACCCCTTACTCTGGAAAGGGAGCTCATCCACACACACTCTGGGCAGCTCAGAACCAGATGGAGGAGAAGGAAACAGGAGCCCAATTCTTGGGGACAAATCCTGTGACGCCCCAGCCACGAGGCAGTTTGGTTATTCACAGGCAGTGAGGAGAGTGAGTTCGGATAGGAGCTAACCAGGCGTACACACAGCAAAAACAGACAAGAGAGTAAAGAGTTAAGAACCTAGACTCTCATAAAGAAAAACTTTTTTAGCAAACTCTGCTAAATGAATAAGCCCTCCCCACCTCCAAGCTAGCTTTTGAGGAATTTAAAGATAAAGTAACCAGTTCCCTTCAAACTCTGCTAGAACAGTAACTGGCTTCCTCTAAGCACTACACTATAGAGCAAGACCCAGCTGGTTATTCTACACACAAGCACCTGACAGGTGAGTGCTGGCCAAATCCCCGCCTCAGCACACCACGAGGACAGAGAAGCCCCCAACCCTCAAGGAACCCTGCAGCCAGGACTATTTTTCTGCTGGTATTTCCAACGAGTGCTCCCCTAGCTTCCTCCTTTTTTGTCCACGATTTGGGTTTGGTTTGCACTGGTTCTTTAGCACAGGGGTAAGGCTATAATGGCCCAGGTCCGCTAGTGGTGCTGGGTGTACAAGCCAGGGTCTGGGAAAAGAAGGAAGGGGTTGTGAGCTGAGCCAGAGGGGAACACTATGGTGTAACTCTGGAAGGCACTCAGTGCCCTGCCTCCTAAACCCACCTGAGGTCAGACAGCCAGGCAGCCTCTGGGCACTCACAGGCACCCACCAGCTCAAGGACGCTCCCTGGGACCTAGGGGCTGAGGCCAGGATCCAGTCCCCAGAATGCCCTCTTGACATGATTTGCGAGGCAATCTCCGAGGAAGGCCCAGCAGTCTGCAGGCTCTCAGCTCTCAGACCACAGGACAGTGTGCCTAACTGCCCACCTACCTGGCTGGCAAGTCAGGCTGACCCTGGGGCGGCCACCCCAGTGTTGCCTACCTGGAGCCTGAACCGGAAGCGCTCCCAGCTTCTTGCGGACAGACAGGAGTTAGTAAGCACGTCCCCATGCCATAGGGGTAGGCTCGCCCCGGCAGCCAGGAGCTGTCCTGCAACCAGGGGCCCTACAAGCATGAAAACAGTCTCCATGGACAAGGACAGTGACAGCCAGTCCTCTTCTCAGAAATCCCAGTGCAATTCTGTCAATCCTCCAACACTCAGCACAGACATGTAAGACGAAACACAAGCTACCACAGATCAGATGCCATGCCACACTCGCTCTGTGCTGGGCCCTGGGACAGCACCAAGACCAGAGGAGACCTGACCAGTCCACGTTAACACAGCACCAGGGTGTGGGTCACACAGAGGCCGAGAGCAGGTGGGAGGATCCCGATGGGCAGGGAGCTGGGCACACCTGGAAGTAAGCAGGGTAGCTACCGGCAGGTGTCACGAGGCCAGTGCCAAAGCAGCCTAGTGAAGGTCCATGCCGGAAAGGTGGTGCAGTTTAAGGAAAAGAGCTGCTTTCAAAAAGGGGCCTGAAGCTGGGCCTGGTGGGGTGCACCTTGGTCTAAGGAGGTTGAGGCAGAAGAACACTTGAGCTCAGATGTTTGAGGCAAGTCTGGAATCAGAGTGAGACCCTGTCTCTTAAAAAGAATAAAAATAAAAAGATGAGCAGGGGAGTTGAGAGGGCCAATAAAATTTACCAGCCTTTTGCTGCAATAATTATATAAGCTTCAGAACAACGTCAAGAGTAATCGCTGGGCTGTCCTACAGACTAACTCCAGCTGAATCCCAAGAGGCAGTCTGTCCTGGTGTCTCTATGCCAGGCAAGCATGGAGCAGCTCAGCACTAGGATCAGTCCCATGGCAGAGGTGAGGCTGCACCCTGGCCACCCCAGGACACCCGGAACACAAGCTTCCAGGTGGGCTAGAGATGTGCAGGTGGGACCAGCTCCCACCCCGCATGGACACGAAGCCCTTGCACGCTCCAGAGGCTGAAAACAGGCCCTGAAGTCCTGGCAGAAGATGCCCAGGCCCAACACCACACGGTGACGCAGGGGAGCCCCAACAACCATGATGAATCCAGCAGAGCCAGCAGAACTGGGAGGCTTGGGCCACACCCTGGACAGAGCCCAGTTCTGCTGGGTGGGTGCTGACTGCGGAGCAGTCACTGCTGAGCTCTTCCTCGGGCTCACCTGCCCCCCTTAGTAGGGAAGAGCAGTCTTCTGCAAGCGGTACTGGGCAAACCGAGTATCCACACAGAGGAGTGAGTCAGACTCGTACACCAAGCCATCTAAAAACTAACTCAGAACCGGTCAAGGCTTACAAGAACTAAACCTACAAAACTCTTAGAAATGCAGAAGAAGCTGGGGATTTAGCTTAGTGGTTCCACCACCTGTCTCGCAAGCACAAAGTCCCAAGTTCGATCTCTGGTTTAGAAAAAAAAAAAAAAAG